TTTTTTTTTTTTTTTTTTTTCCATACAGGGGGCCGGGGTCTCGGGTGCTGACCCCCGGAACCCCGGCGGGGTCCCGGGGCCGGGGGTCGACAACCCTGCAAATAACGAATGGATTACCCAACCAGTACCGACAAAACTAGAATTGTGGAAAAATAAGCATATCTCTGTAATGAGACGTGTAATGGTTATTAATAATGCGGTATTGACTCCTATCTGGTACAAGTCAGCGATTTGGCCTATGGACAAATCGGCGTTAAGAACTCTACAAAGACAAGTGGTATCTTTCCTATGGAGAGATAATCATGAGAGTCAAAATGTCATTAGCAGGGTAGCGTGACAATCAGTGATACAACCAAAAGTCAAGGGGGGACTGGGTATCATAGACCCGGCTACACAAGGAATGACTCTTTCCGTTCAATGGATTAAGAGACTACTTTAACTCGTAAACTCCTTGGAGTGAGTTGGCATGAGAACAGATAAGACGATTAGCTCCAGAGACCCCAAATAATATACATCCAATGATATGGTTACAAAACAGATCATGGTCTATTCCTAGGAAGTTCTCAAGGGAGGTAGGGGGACCAAGCTATCTCAGAACAAAATGCAGCCAAAATGGGCATGAGTAAGGACCCGTTTTGGTCTAACCTGTTAAAAACTTGGAGAAAGATTCCCCTACCAGATAAGATGGCTCCAAATAGATGGGAAGAAGTGTGTCGACAACCTCTATTCAATAATAGTTGGATTAGGAACTCACAAGGATACATACTCCATTGTATGGACTTACTGCGGAAAAGCTGGATTAGGAGGGGTATCCTGCGCATCAAAGACATTTGGAATAGGGATACGAAGGATTGGATATTATCAGATAAGTTGCAGAGACAATTACGATGTTGTCATCATTCAGGGGAAGCACTAGACCAAGTCAAGAGGAAGGAGAGTGAGAGCGAGGAGGCTAAAGGTGTAAGTAACACATACTACCTGAAGTTTGAGGAATGGACGGGGGTAGATCCAAGTATCCCAATAAGACACTTATCATAATTCCCAGACCCGTTTCCTCCACAACCAGATTATTTAGTCTCATGGTCATGGTTCGGGAATGATTGAGGACTCACCTGATCAGGGTGGAATACAAGCCAGTGGATATGAGAAAATTTGGCGCCCACAATTGAGTGAAGAGGATTTATCCATTTGGAAGATGAGAAGACGGGTAAAGAGAAGAAGGCGATAGTGTGGTCTGGATGAGTAACAAGACTAGTGTTTTAAGATCATCTGGCTCCTACGGTTGGGGGAAGAGGCCCAGTTCTCATTTATCAACTCTTTCACTAATGTATCAAGTGGGATGTTGGACGCGGTTTCCGGCAGGAGCAACTCCCCACCAATAGATGGAGCGACATGAATAGGTATGCTAGCTGGGGATGCTCGTATCACCTCAACTAGTATTAGCTGCAGAGTCTTAATAAAAATAAAAATAAAATAAATAAAAACCAGTTTGGTGGAGTAGCAATGCATTTATGGACCATCTCATTTTTGTGCAAGGGTGTGTTCCCAGGCCCAATCCCTGGGGTCCACTGACAAAAGGTGGGAACTTCAAGGTTGAGATAGGAAGAAGGGTGATATGAGGCCGTTGCAGTTTCCAAAACACATACAGGCAGCAAAGGCTCCAAATTTGCGGCAAGGGTAAGTATCGTTCCCAGGACAAAAAATTCATCTTGCACCACCCAGCTGGAGTGCAGAATTAGTGCCTCCTCCAAGTAATTTTCTACTTTCCAGATTTGCACCAGATCTTCATAGTGGGAATGCTTGTACCACATTCCTTGAGCAGGGACAAGGCTGGGCCTGCTTTTAATATCTCCACCCAAGCGGTCGTGATCGCTGTTGTAACTATTGCAGGTCGGAGTGTTGATGCCAGAGGCAGGGTCCCATATATCTGTCATTGTCCCTATACCTTGTGCCAGTGTCTCAAAAGGTTTCAAATCAACTAAGAAGCGTCCCATATATCTGCTACTGTCCCTATACCTTGTGCCAGTGTGCCAGTGTCTCAAAAAGTTTCAACTCAACCAAGACAGGGTCCCATATATCTGCCACTGTCAGTATACCTTGCGCCATCCAAACATTGTCGAAGGCTGCTCATCTGTGACATTGGAAAGGGCATACCCTGAGCAGTGTAGATATTACGTGGGTTATGGAACAGAGGTTGGGTTATGGAACAGAGGCTGAGTAAGTATCCGCTCGGTGACCATTGGTGGCGGTTGCAGTACAGGGGGGCAACTCATTTCCAGGATCCCAACATCCCTCCTCATATTATGTCTCGTGGCAACCGTTTTCTCATATATGAGGCAACAAGTGAAGCCGGCCAGACATATTTGAAATTCTCCCAACGCATCCCCATGTTGACCAAAGAGCAGGTTTTGCTAGTATTTGTTTCCACGCAGACGTGGAATCAGCCAACAGAGCCCATAATAACCATTTCGTCAAAACGAACATATTTTGTTTTTTGAACCAAAATGAAACCTCATAATTTAAATTGAAACCTCATAAATTGGCCCGATTGTCCAGTTGATGTAGCTCAGTGGTTAAAACACTGGTTGGAGA